GGGGGGGTTGGCAGTGGCCCCAGTGGGGTACCTGGGTGTCCCCATGGGGTCTGACCCCAAGGATTGGCATTGACCCCCCAGGGGTGTCCAGGTGTCCCCAGGGGGTCCCCATGGAGCGTGACCCCAGGGGCCGGCAGTGTCCCCAGCAGGGTGCCTGGGTGTCTCCATGGGGCACCTGCATGTCCCCATAGGGCTGGTATTGTCCCCGTGGGTTGTGACACTGGAGGCTGGCGCTGGCCCCAGTGGGGTACCCAGGTGTCCCCAATGGAGTGTGACCCCAAGAGCCGGCATTGATCCCAATGGGGAGTGACTGTGGGGACTGGCATTGTCCCCACTGGGGTGTCCAGATGTCCCCAGGGGTTACCAAGGTGTCCCTATGGAGTGTGACCCCAGGGGCTGGCATTGTCCCCGTGGGGTACGCGGGTGTCCCCATGGGATGTGACCCAGGGGGGCTGGCACTGTCCCCCCTAGGATGCCTGGATGTCCCCATGGGGAGTGATCTGGGGGCTGCCATTGTCCCCATGTGGTACCTGGGTGTCCCTATGGAGCGTGACCCCAGGGGCTGGCACCGTCCCCATGGGTCTCCCCATAGGACATGACTTGGAGCATCCCCATGGGGTCTGACCCCAAGGGCCGTCATCGTCCCCAGTGGGGCGGTGACCCCAGGGGCTGGCATTGTCCCCATGGAGTACCCACGTGTCCCATGGGATACCCAGGTGTCCCTATGGAGTGTGACCCAGGGGGCTGGCACTGTCCCCATGGGGTACCCAGATGTCCACATGGGATGTGACCCTGGGTGCCACCAATGGGATGTGACCCAGGGGGGCTGGCACTGTCCCCCCTAGGATGCAAGGGGAGCGATCTGGGGGCTGCCATTGTCCCCATGGGGTACCTGGGTGTCCCTGCAGAGTGTGACCCCAGGGGCTGGCACCGTCCCCATGTGTCTCCCCATAGGACATGACCTGGAGCATCCCCATGGGGTCTGACCCCAAGGGCCGTCCATCCCCGGTGGGGCGGCAGCATCCCCAGCAAGGCATCCCCATGGGGCGTCCCCAGCAGGAGCCCTCAGAAGGGCAGCGTGTCCATGAAGATTTTATCCACGATGGGCGGCGGCGGCACCAGGTCCTCCAGCTTCAGGTAGAAGATGCGCTGCAGGCCCTGCGTGCACAGCGTGCGCAGCTCAGGCAGTTTGCCCAGCAGTTTGGACAGGCAGCCCGGCCGGCCTGGCTCCCCCGCGGCCACGTGGTCCTTCAGGCAGCCCACGATTCGGTTCTGCAGCTCCTCCACACGTTTCGGTTCCTTCAGGCCGTGGCGGTCTGGGAAAGGGGCAGGGAGTGAGGCTGGGGGAGCCAAGGGAGCTCAGGGTGGGATGGGTGGAATTGTCCCCGGTTCCCCATAGCACGACCCCAGGTGTCCCTCTGGCACATCCCCTATGCCATGACCCCAAATGTCCCCTATGGAACGTCCCCAGGTGTCCCCATGG